GACGCAGGTGGTGCAAGTGCGAAAATAAAAGGTAAAAGGCGTTTGGCAAAAGCGCAAGAGCAATTTCTAGAGAAAAGGAAATGAAATAAAGAACAGTTAACCTGATTGTGAAGAGACGTGCCGTAGGGATTGGAGGGAAACGGAGAGCGCAAAAAGGAATGATTGCAAAATTAGGGACCTGTGTAATGGAAGAATGGAAGGGTTATCGCTCGGAACACATGGAAGGGGCCAACATATCTTGCGAGAAGTAATAAGTACTTTGTACTTACACATTACACGTTAACCGAACAAAAGGGATTTGGAAAAGAAATCCAAGGGGCAAAGAATACGCGAGAGGGTCAAACGGAAGAGACGAACGGAACAGCGAGGGGGGGTCGCATATCAGTGCGCTTGGCGGCCGGCATGCCACGAATGGAGGATGCGCGAATGTCGTCTTGACGTCTCTTGTTGGTTCCGTAAGTGTAGTACATGCTTTATCTCGGGGATGGGGATGGCGGTGTTCCTGCCCTTCGGTTGGTAAGATCGTGAACAGATCTACACGTCGGTTCACATGGTTCCTCCTACAAGGATACCCCACAGCGGGGCGTTGCCGTAGCCGGGACAAGCTCTAAGCTCGCGATTGGTCGCCCAACGTGTGTAGGAGTGTAGTGCATGGAAATGTTTGTGGGGGGATATAACACGGAAGGGGAAGGAAATATCACTCGTGGTCCGTTTCTTTTGGTACTGATCGGGTTGATTGATTGATTAGTGAATCCGGGCCGTCAATTACTGAGATAATTAGTTCCATTAGCGTTCTGCATGTTTTTCATAGTGTGAATGGTATTCATCGGACACCACTGCCGTGATTTGAACCCTAAGATCTCGTTGAGAGTGGCGGCAAGACAGCGGCAATCCTCGTACTGAAATACTCAGCTGGTATTACGAGTAGAAAGCGGCCAGAATGACGGTCAGAACTGCAATCTGATTGGTTGGCAGACTGTCGGGTAGAGGGCGGGTAAGATGGTCACCAGTGAGCGGGCGGGCAGCTAGTGCGTATCAGGCGAGTAGAGGTCGGGCAGTGGGCGGTGAATGGATGGGCAGTGGGAGGGCAGTGGGCGTGCAAGGGGCGCTAAGTGGGAAGGTAGTGGGCGATGAGAGAGCGGGCAGATGGAGATCAGTGGGCTGGCAGAGTGCGGGGCGCGGGTGGGAAGTGGGCGGGCAGAGGGCGGGCAATGGGCGGTAGTGGGCGGGCAGTGAGTGTCGCTGACTAGCCTCCCCCGGGCGGCTGCAGGAGCTGGGTAATTTGAATGGCGGCGACGCCTGCGCTCCCCGCCCCGTCAAAGCGTCAAAGGGGCCGTGTTTGAACGCCGCCGCTCGCGCACAGACCGCGCGAGGCGACAGCGGATGGGAGAGAAGGGAGCAGGAAACCCCACGCGGGGAAACACGGATATCCGATGTTGCACCTTGTGAGATATTGCACGAGAGTGCATACTCGCCATAGATGAGCCCCGGAGGGGGAGGGAAGGAGGGAGGACGGGACAGTTAGTGGGTGATGGAAGGTTGAAAGGAGGACGTGAGAGAAATAGGACAGGAGTGACGCAGGGCTGGAGGGAAGGAGAGAGGGACGAGCGGGCGTCGTTTCAAATACAAAGGGCGCCCGCAGCGTTTACCTCTCGTGTGGGTACGCGAGCGACGTTAGGACTATTGGCGAGAGCAGGCGCCATCTGCAAAATGTAAAATTCTGCGCACTGTCTCTCAAAACATTTGACCGCCCAGATGCCTCAGTAATTCTTTTTGTTGCTCATGTAAAATAGAGATAAGCTTGAATATTTGTTGGCTTTTTTTCGTGCGCCCTGTACATACAAGTAGAACGCTCAAAAACTCTGGGGCTTAAATATTGTTTTAGGAAGCATCCCGAAATAGCTCTGAGGCATATTTCATTTTTTATGCGATTCATCACATTTTTTTCTTTCGTTTATTTTGGGAGATTTGGTAAAATGTGAATGTATGCTTTAAACAAAGATGAAATTAATACTGCGGAATATAATAATATTAAAAATTAATAATTCTTCCATTTGAGGACGTCAATACTCGTTTAACTTCATTGTCGAGTTTATTTCAAAATTATTTCCTTTTTTCGATGTTAGCATTCACGGTAAAATGTTTGCAAGCTTTTCAGCATCGGTCATTCGTTGTCGGTAAGCAAGTGGAGAGCCAACTCTGGAGAGCTGAACGTAACATGAGACATCGACGTAACATGAGACGTTCCCCGAGCTGAATCGAGTTAAAAACTCTAATGTGACTTTAGAGCATTGTTACATAGGGTTCGGATGTATATACTTGGTCAACTGCAAAGGTTTTTATAGGATCGCAAATGTTATATGATTCTTACAGTGTTTATAAATAAAGGATATGCAATTATAAAGTATGTATTAAATTTATATCATTCAACTGGCATTATTTAGATAAACTCTCTCCAACCTACATTGGTATACCTATTTAAATTCTACTTTAGTACAAACAAAAGTAGAGAATAGTGATTTTTTCTGAAATTAAATAGTTTAAAATTTTCGCAATACAACAATATTTCGAAGGTGTTTTTCTGATTGAATAAATGTTTTTATTTTTTAATTTTCAATGTCCTTAACTCATCTACAGCACACTCATATCATATTCACATTCATCGTGGGTGTATCGGTTGAAACGCATCGTCCTACCGATAGTCCCACGATAATAAGAATTCAACATGTTTGAACTCGTGACAAACGAGATGTATAATAACGATGACTAATTGCATTCATATTAAAATTGTATATTAAGAATTGTTTAGAATACCTGTCACATCTATTATAAAAATTTAAAAAATATTTGTATGTAATTTTTTTCTTGTCATATAGTGATGTTATATATAAAGTAAAATCGTGAATTATATTGGCAAGCTAATAAACCATTAACGGTATCTGGAGTGTGCATGAACTTTAAAATTGTAATGGACTAGAAAAAAATGTAACAGACGGTTTGCACTATGCACTACGATTGTAACCTCTCACCATTTCATGTTTATGTAAAAAATATTAACTTGTATATTATTAGGATGTCTCTAATTTCAAACATTAATATATTTTCTATCAGTCTTCTTTTAGAGATCAGGAGCGCCGATGATATTATGCTTGTGTGTATGGTAATGACTACCCAAACTAGTTCCCACACATATGAATGACTTGAGTAACGTGTAATACACCACATTGAAAACCCAGACACACGAAGGGAATTTTCACCTATCAATAGAACATATCTCGGAAACTAATTACATGGTATATGATCTAATGAAGTGACAAAAGCGACAACGATGTGAAATGGAACCACGCCAAACATCCTCAACCTAAACCAATGCATTAGGTTTCTCAATCCCATTAAGATTAAAGTTGATATGGCCACAGTCACAATTGATGGTAAACGAGAACAAAAGGTATAGAAAGCAATATTGCCGCCATAAATGATTAACGGAAAAGTACACTTGGCTTTTATTCTCAATACTAGCAAGTTCATTTATTGCATTATGGACTGTTATGCATGATGTATACTAATATTCAGCTTTGTATTTTGGAAATTACAATGGGTCCAAATACCGAAGCCTGGAGAAGCTTTGTGCAATCGAGAGTTGTTTCTATAAAATGACAGTGCATGATTAACATGTTTATGCATAATGCATACAATATTCCGCTTTATATTTCGGACATTGCAATGCCTGAAAATACTGAAACCTGCAGAACATGGAATCGGGCGTTCTTTTTAGAATACCCATGGATAAAACATTCCTTTAGTCAGAGTTGTAAACTGTTAAACGATATTCTAACAACATAGAAATAACTCTAAATACGGCACGTAAACATCAGCCTAATCTTCGAAAAGCTACTACATTAAACACACATTAACACCCAAAAATGTGGATTATAGATATATGATGAAGACAAATATATTGATACCTATCGTTGCGATTCAATGAAGGTTAATTTAAAATTTAACGTATCTCAAGAGCGCCCAGTTGTAATTATATCATATAATAAAATGTTTACATTTTATATTATTTATAAATACAATTGTTTAAAAATGCAATATCTTCGACATCATTTATAATTTAAATAAATTAGAATAAAAGTTTTTTAAAACTCAAAATTTATGATTTATTTTAAAAGTATAATTTTCAAATCTTCTATGGTGTAATCACATTTTCTATGGTATTCCTGATATGGGAATCCATCAGTAAATGTTTTCGAGCAAATTTTGTAATATTCATCGGTTTGTAACTGTGGAACTTATTGATTCAAGTATCTTGTACATGTTACTTCGTAATAATAATAATAATAATAATAATAATAATAATAATAATAATAATAATAATACAGGTATGTTTAATTAAATTAAATCTCAAAAATTGCATACCACTGCCAATGATCAAGGGACTTCTCTGAATTGAAGAATCGTTCGTTAATTCTTTTGACAGTTCTTTTTGATACTTTTTTCGAACCTACCCCTGCAAATGATAAGAAAAGCATGCTATCACTTAATTAAGGATTTTCAGATGTCAATTTCATATGAAATTAATGATTTTGAAACAAAATTTACCAAACAACACTAAGAATACAATTATCATATTTATCGAGTAATTGTTAAATTGAAACATATCTGGGGAGCGAAACACGGTTAACTGTGTATCTGTCTGTAATCGAATGTGGAAATAAGGAACAGAAAACACGACCCTAAATACAATTTTTGATTTGTACTTTACCAATGACTTATGGCTACTCATTTAGAGAGAGAACCAATTCAACGCCTCCATTTGAAGAACCGCGGTCGAATCTCGCTCAGGGTTTCCATGTTTGTCCTTTGTTTTTATTGTGTTGAGGTGCTCAGAGTCGCGCGTTCCGTTGACCTAAAATCCGAAGAGTCCTTGTGTAACATTAGTGTAAATGTTAAATGTATTCCTCGTGGTACATCCTATTGTGGAGAGCAGAGACGACTCAACCCCTCTGTTCGAAGAGCCGCGGTGTCGATTTTCGGCCTGGATATTTGTCTTCCAGCATCAGCTGGATGAAATCCCAAGAAAACCAAAACCTACAAAACGAAGGAATACCCGCATGCCGCTAGATACTCACCGAGTCACAACGGTTGTGTACGTACGAAATGGCCATCTAAATGGTCGATCAGGTCAGAGAGCGAACAGACTCAACGCCTCTGGTCCAAGATCCATGGACTCCAATCTCATTCAGGGTTTAAAGTTTGTCATTATCTTTGGTATGTTGGGTTGCACAATGCCGCGCATTCCGTTGATACCGAGCCGAAGAGCTCATAAGTAACAACAGAGTAAATGGTAAATGTACAGGGCATGGTACATCCTACTGTGGAGAGTGGAGCTGACTCAACGCCTCAGTTCCAAGAGCCGCGAGATCGATTCTCGCTCCCAGCGTGAATGTCAGTCTTTCAGCATCGCTCCGGATACGTATCTGAAAAGAATCAGCGAATGTACGAAATGGCCGTAGGAACTCTTGACCAAGGTAGAGAGAAAACCGACTCTAGGTCTCTGTTCCAAGAATTATGTGGTCGAATCGGACTCTGGGCCGAGATTTGTTTCCTTAGTTTTTCATCTTTGGTCGCAGATAGCCTTGAGTTCCGTCCAAAAGATCCTTGTTACAACAGTGCAAATGTCTAATGTAGAGTCCGTGCTACTATTGTGGAGAGCATCTATCTTCACCTGGAAGAAATCCGAAGGCAACCAACATGTGCAATACGAAGAAAGAGACCTGCGTGCTGCAGGATACGCACCCGAGTCGCAGCGGTCGCCGCCGCGCCCCAGCGGGCACTGGCACCTGGGCGCCACCACGGCGCTGGGCGGGGCGCCCTCGGCGGGCTCCATGACGCACGCGCCGCCAGCGCCGCAGTCCAGGGCGCACGGCATTTGCGAGGCGCCGCACGGAGCCTCCAGCTCTCTGTGGTGGGCGGCGCGGGTCGCCGGAGCCGCCGCCGCCCCGGCACCTTCTTGGCGCGAAGGTTCGGGCTCCTGCTGTGTTTGACGAACCTGCAACGCGCGGCCCGCGCGCTCGTCCTACCGAGCATGGTTCACCGCCGCCCCCCCCCGCCCCGCCCCCCAACCGCCCCGCGTCGCCGCCCGGCGCTTCGCCCAGCTGCACGGAGTTGGTGTCCAGGCCCGGCGAACCCACGTCCAGCTCGGCGGAGAACGAGGCGTCTTTCTGGTAGAGGATGTCTTCCTCGGCGTCGCCCGGGCCGTCGACGGCGGCGTCGCCCGCGCCGTCCACGTCACCGTCGCCCTCGCCCGTGACATCGTTGCCGGTCTCGGAGGCCGCCTCCAACGTGCTGTTCATTTCTGGAACAAGGCAGGGGAAAAGCTCGGTTAGACCATCAATCTTCTGCAACGATACTTTTAACCAGATCCCTCCAACTTTCTTATTTTTCGCTCAACGCGGAAGGCTAATATCCTTACATAGCAGTGGTTTTGGTCTGTCTACAGAACCGTTAACGTCCAATATTCAACGTGAAACTTCCGCAGTATCGTGTTTACAGCGTTTATAGGATCAAAATTCGTATTAATGGTTATTCTTTAAAATATGACGTTGCATAGGGTTGTTTTTAAATATGTCGTACCCATGACGTAGTTTCAAATGTAATTGGGAATCATTCAAATAGAAAAATACTCTTAGTCGAAGAGGGTTGCATATACATAGCATCAATAAACGTAATGAATTAAGATTGACTATTACCAGAACATTCCATATAATTCAAAATGTATGAATTTGGACTGAACACCGTCATTTACTACGGATACCAATTTGAAGAATCAAACGACACTTAACGCACCTCGCTTGAATACGATCTTTAAAAAAGTGCTACCTTCTTTAATACGGTAGAATGTTGAACTGTTCGTGTCGATTATCAGAATCTGATTCTGTTATCAGCGTGAACTGAGCCCAGCGATGAACAGCTTTTGTTTGCTTGTGCTCTTTAGAACTCCTTTAAAATCGCTGCTCCCGTCGGAGCAGCGCTTGCGGCCCCGAGGACAATAAAGCGTGCTCGATAATGCAGATTCGCAGAAAGCAAAACGGAATTCCATTGTGTCTAACTGACACATCTAGGACATATGTGGGATATTCGAGCACACAAAATTAGACGATTTGACATCGTTTGCCGAGAACTCTTTAACGTCATATTTCGTGGTAATTAACTCTTCCCCAGCCGCTTCGAATTTCTCATGTTCGTTGTCCCTGCGTAGCATCATGTCTCATTCACAAGCACTCCCCAGCGGTTCACTCCATTCTCAATTTTGTAAGGCTCCTGAGTATATACATAAAGATTAAATTGTTAAGTATTTTGTAATCAATAATATGTCATGAAAAATGAAAATATTATTGTTACAATCTCAAAATTACAAACAAACAAATTTAAACGAAATATCAAAACTAAAATACTATTGATTCAGAAAGTAACACTTGTTACTTTCACTGCACGTGTGTCTGATTGACGAAGCCTTTTGGAAATTACTGTAGCTTCAAATTGTGTCCAAACTTGATTGTTAAAAATCTCAAAATGTTCGCGAATAAAATTATAGCGATTGTTATTCCTCGAATGAAACACGTGTATTTATAATTTTCATCGTTTATATATGCCATGGGGTCCATGGTCATGAACATCGAACTCGCTTTTCGTGATGATTTTCTTTAAAATCGTCTCAGCCTCTATTGCTATATGATGAAGAAATACTCAGGCATGCGGAGTTAGGTTGTTAAGGTGAAGGAACTACGTCGTGTGTGCCACAAAGCATGGGAATTAAACTAGGCCCAGGAACGTAGGACATCGTTCGCTAGCCGGAAAAGACGTACAATCGACTGAAAATCCCAAATACATACATAGTCTATATATTAATGAGGGACGTCGAAGTTTAGTTATTGAAATGATTACTTAATTCAGCACAAAAATACACTAAAATTTAAAATTTTCTATTGAGAAATTTCGACAATATCGATAACGAGTTGATCTTTAGCAATATTAATATTAACAAAAAACTATTATTTATTTTGCTCACAATTTCACTATTAAGCAATACAATAAAATGTGTTGTCATAGGGTAAAAGCCTGTAAGTTATTAACAAAACCGACCTACGTAAGAACTTCGACTATTTATTACAGAAATCGAGTTCTACCCATAAAACGTTTGTTAACGTAGCACAGAAATCAAGTCTGTGTACTCCAAAAAATGTTTACTATTTAGCGCTAATGCTGGCCAGTTCTCCGCTGTTGGTGAATCACAAAAATCCATATATTCATGCCATGCAATCGTGCCAATCATAGGAAGTACTGTTTCGGACACAAGGGGTGTGAACACAAAATTAATTAATATTTGGCGCATTTTAAAAGATTTTTAAGAGTGATGGTCTTATTAAATACCACCCGTGGTACTGGAAATTTCCAGATAAATTCATTGGTCGCTACGGGATTGGGAAATACCGGAAAGTTCCAATGCACACCTGTTATTACCTACGATAATGCGTCAGCGACTGATACTGCTAGTGTCACGAGAGAGAAATGTAATGCCAATCACATTTTTTTTCCTTTCCAAGATAGCTTAGCTATACCACGTTCCGCTGACTCCACGTCAGACACGCTTATTGCCTTCTCACCCTTCGGTTCGCATGGCATACCTCTCCTACCCCTACGATCGTAAAATTATTTAGGAGCGTCTAAATAAATGAATGACCCTTAGGTGGGCACCCGCGAAAGAAGACCGCCCGTTTGTGACGTTTTGCTGCCGTCGTTTCGTGTTAATGCTCCCTCGTCCGTCCTCACGTGGACAAAAAGTTGAGCTGTAAAAAGAGAAGAGACTCGTAGGACACGCCGCGCGCAACCCCACCAACGTCTTCTCCAGCCTCAACACCGCCCTCGTCTCCGCTTCGGCCACTTCGAGCACCATTCGTAAGAAAAGCCCTTGACTCGCAAGAAGATCGCCTCTTCAATCGCTCCCAACACACTCCCAGGCTCTTGAGCCTATTTTCTTGATATAGAAACTACACAACTAAAACAATTTCTCGATCTTTCATTCTTGTTTCCAGACGGCTTAGGTGGTTCAGGGTATCAATTGATGTCACTGCCGTACCTCCGATCGGGAGAGCCTATGGTTCGAATCCGGACTGAGGCAGGGTTTCCGGCGCTAGCTACAAAGCTAGGTTGAATTTAGCCACCGTCTGGAGAAGAATTCTAGCTGGCTATTGCTCTGATTGGTAGTTTTCCGTGTTTTTCTGATCAAAACCAGGCGAATGCTGGAGCAGTATTCTAACCAAAAGGCTACGGACCACGCGCGATCATTCCTTCCGTTTCCTTGTCCTATTCGTATTTACCCTTACTTGCACACTTACATTCACGTGTACTACTCTACCACACCTTTCGGGAAACCACGCGGAAGCATACTGTTTGTCCTGGTTGAGGCGGCGCCCAGCTGGAGATCGGTGGAGGAAATCCCCCAGAACCCGACGTGTAGGACGACACCCGATCTCACCATCCAGCTGGGTACAATCATCACCACCTCGCACGTAAAAATGGACTACATTTTGGCCTTAACAGTTGACGCGCCAGGAAACAATCAGTAAATCAATTAAACCATCACGACTCCACCTTCCCCACAACATCCCTGGTCTATGGTTCCCCTCTGTTTTCTAGATCAAAAACTTGCAAAGCCGACAAACTGCTCTACAGAATGATCCGCAGGTTTCGAGCGCTCCTGCGCTATGTCGCTGGCTTCTTTGTTAGTAGATTATTACGGAGCTTGTCTTTGTCCTTCCACTAACTTGGTGACTGTCAGTTTTACGTTCAGTGCTTCTGACACTTCGCATAAAGAGGCACAAACACGAGAGTTGAAACGATACGAACTTACAACGAGGACAATTTTGGAAAAATGGGAGAATCATCAGAAAACCGCTTTAAATGATTTGGTTTCTGAAAGTCGACAAAAATTCTGTGAATTAGTGTACTGTCAAATATAATGTATTTTTAATTATTTCTTTTTGCCACGGACTTTTTACTTTTATCACATTTCTTAACTTTACGAAAGGAAAAACAATAAATGCTAATAATTTAAATATAAAAAATAATTGAAATGTAAAATCAAATGTTCAAATTCCATTTTCGTTGAAACAATTTCGTCTTATTTGTCCCAATAGAAAATAAATTCCATTCCAAAATAGAAATGTGTAAGTAGCAATTCATTTTCTACTCATCCCTTGCTATAAAAGCATCTCCCGCCTACACAGCATCCCGCTCTTCGACTTTCTTCGCATCTGCAACCGCCCCAACCTTCCCCTGCAATTTCAGCGCCTTCCGCATAACCCACATCGCCGACGCGTGCCCCGCGGCCCGCGCAGCCAAAGCCGCCGCCTACGGCTCAGCCGCCTCCGTCGCCATCGCCTGCCACCGCCGCCGCC